CAGTCACTGAGGTCAGATCATTCTTAGGAATGTGCGGCTACTATAGGAACTTCGTAAAGAACTATTCTACAGTCGCCTCTCCTTTGACTGATCTAACTCGACTTGACACACCGTGGAACTGGAGTGATGAGTGCGAGGGTGCTTTCAAGAGATTGAAGCATGCACTCATGAATCATGAGGTTCTCATGGTTCCCGATCCTCAGAAGCCATTCATAGTGACCACTGACGCAAGCCAATACGACATTGGCGAAGTGTTGGCTCAACAGGATGGGAAAAAGTTGAGATCGATTGAGTACATGAGCAAGAAGATGCCATCAAAGAAGTTGGCAAAGTCCACCTATGAAAGGGAACTCTATGCTCTATACAAAGCACTTGTCCATTGGAGACACTTCCTATTGGGAAGATTCTTCTACTTGAGGACTGATCATCAGACCCTCAAATGGATCAAGACTCAACCGGTTCTTTCCGATGCACTCAAGCGATGGATTGAGGTCATAGACCAGTATGACTTCAAGCTTGAGTATTTGAAGGGAGAGTACAACACGTTTGCAGATGCGCCATCCCGTAGAGAAGATCACCTAGGTGCGCTAGTTTCTGACTTTGGCATATCTGACGAAGTAACTCAATCGTTGGTGGGAGCCTATCAGGAAGACCTTGTCACGATGGACATCATTCACAAACTTCAGGCAAAAGACAAGGCCACAGAAAGTGAGTTAGCGATGGTGGACGGGCTTCTCTATCTTGATAAGGCCGGAATAAAGAGACTAGTAGTTCCATCTAGTAAACCTTTGCGTAGTTAATTCTTAGGAGAATGCCATGATGCAACGGGACACTTTGGCTACAAGAAAACGAGTGCTAATCTAGTACAGCGATTTTGGTGGCCTGGGATGTTCGATGACGCAAAGAAGTACGTACAAACCTGTCAGGTCTGTCAGCGGGACAAGCCACGAACTCAAGCGCCGCTTGGGTTGCTTAAGCCCTTACCTATTCCTGTTGTTCCAGGACAGAGTGTTTCCATGGATTTCATGGACACCCTAGTAGCTAGCAAGAGTGGTAAGAGGCACATCTTCGTCATCAAAGACCGATTCACCAAGTACGCTAGACTAGTTGCCATGCCAGAGAGCGCGAGGACTGACCATGTCATCAAGTTGTTTATAGACAACTGGGTGCGGGACTTTGATTTACCAAAGACTATCGTTAGTGATAGAGACGTCTGATTCACAAGTGAGCTATGGAAGAAGAGTGCGGAACAAATGGACAGTCAAGTTCAGATGACTTTAGGGAATCATCCCGAAGCCAACGAACAAGCCGAATAGATGAATAGAGTTGTACAGCACTTGCTGAGGCATTACATCAAGCCCAGCCAAGATGATTGGGATGAGAAGTTGCCACTCATCGCCAATCTGTACAACAATGTTGTGCACAGCAGCACCGGCGTGAGTCCTAACCAGCTACACTTGGGATGGAAGCCTAGATCCACGTTAGACTTCCTCCTACCTGAAAATCGACCTGCTGCAACCCTAGGCACAATGGAATATGGTGTGCAGTATGAGAAGTTGCTGCAAGAAGATGTCGAGCACATGAAGAAAGCTCAACAAGCAATGATTGCTTCTGAGAATCAACATCGTAGACAATCCACATTTCAGGTAGGGGAACGTGTCTGGGTCAAGGCTAGCGAGCTAGGACATGAGTTCGGAATCTCTCGCAAGCTAATGCCCAAATACTTTGGTCCTTGGGAAGTCCTAGATATAGTGGGAGATGAGATGGATGGTCCCACTTATGTCATTCGTGTCCCTGGACCCCTACGCACTCACCCAGTCTTTCATGCCTCAAAGCTTGCACCTTTCGCTGAGACTGATCAATTCCCTTCCAGGAGATCGATGCTGCCCCCAACCATGGATGGACAAGTCGACATCGATGACATTGTGGATCACAGGGACATGCCTGTTGCAAAGCCGTTGGGTCGAGGAAGGCCTCCTAAACCCAAGAGAGAATATCGTGTCAGGTTCAGGCATCACACGGATCCCAAAGAAGATCGGTGGTTTACCAGGGAGGAACTGATTGAGACAGCTCCTCAGGTTGTGGCAGAATATGAAAGGAAGCTGAAAGGGAAGGCACCTACGAAGTAAGCATCTTAGCGGACTTTCGAAGCTAAGGGGGATGGAATGTGAGGATTGAGCCCTCAAGTAGGGGCCTTGCCATGATGTACATGTTCTGGGCTAAGGCCCCATCAAGCCTCGTGCCCGCCCTAAGTGAAGGCAGGCCAGCAAATCAACACGAGCCCTCTGTGCCAACATTTCACGAAGTGGGGGCCATACAGTTGCAGCACGCCAGTTGGTTGGAGTGCACCGAGTCTCGGATTTCAGCAAATGCTGAAAACCCAGGGCCTCTGAGTTAGTTAGGCCCTGGATACTTGAACGTGAGGCCGGGAATGCATGCTGGGTATAGAGGCCGAAAATGCCAAAGGGAAATCGGCCCACTATCTGAATCTGGCCGCAGACCTTGACGAAAGAGGTGCAACTGCATCCCCCGGGCCTCAACTGTATCGGCCTGGGTTCAGCCCCTGGGTCCCGGTCGCAGGCTGAAGGGAGGCCGCCCACACGCTGCACTGGCATATAGGCAAGCAGGGCGAGTGGGCAGGGATCTTGGCCAATGCAGGCATTGCGGGCACGCTGCGCAAATGTATGTGTGCTGCGTTGTGCATGAGCTGCGCTGCGCTAAGGTGAAGCAGGCTAGCGCTAGGCGGTAGGGCACTGCCTGCATGCATGGCACTGGCGGCCATAGCCGGGCCGCATGGGGGTGCAGGAGAGGTGATGGGCGAAGGTGGTCTTCGGAGGTGAAGGGCGTTGTGCGGGTACAAGGGAGAGTGTGGGTGAAGAGGACACGTACCTGGTGGAGGTGGAGGTCGGCATTGGTGTTGACATCATCACTCGCTGGTAGTCAAGTTGTCTGGTTGCTTTCATTGCTGTAGTTGTAGGCTTAGTCTGTAGAGTAGATAGGGCGCCTGGCGCCATTCATGAGAGAGAGATACATTGGGTCATGCTGTTGGTGTTGCCCTGTAGGGCATGGACATTGACTCACGATTCTTCTGTATCATTCTCAATTGGATGGTTACTCGGTTCCATTGTGCTATCTGCTTTGGCTTTGACTACTTGGACTTCAGTGTGATTTTGCATTCTGGATTTCTGTGCTTCGTCCATATTCATGTTCCTTGCACTTTTTATAGTTTTTGACTTTTAACTCAAGTTTGGTTAGGAATTTTGACATGACTCTGAGGCAAAAGTGGTTTGCATTGTTATTCTGCATGACATACTTGTTTTTTCAGATTTTTTTTTTTTTTTTTTTTTAATGGCCCGGACATTTCCGGACCTGACCAGACTTCCGGACCGTCCGGATCCCCCCATGTCCGGAGGTCCGGAAATGTCTGGAATTCCAGACGTCTAGAAACTACCGGACACGGGTCCGGTTCCATGTCCGGAAATGTCCGGGTCCGGGTGTAGCCATGGTTCAAAGGGGATAAGATAGGGAATAACTTCAATAAAGAGGTTTAGAGGGGGGATGCTTAATTCATTCTATAATTTTTTATCAAAATATTATTTTCTTGTTCTGTTTTATTTTTTATCTTCATATCTGTTGAGTAATCAAAGATGGCCTCAAGCCAAAAGTTGTTCTTATTACTGATATGAACAACATAATTTTTTTCCAGATTTTTTTGAATTTTTTTTTTCGGAAAAAAAAAAGTTGTTTGCGCAGGGCCGGATTTTCCATATCCGGAATTAATCCGGAAATTTCATCCGGATTGAAAATTTTGGATAAAACTGGTCTGTCGGATATCCGGATTTGCTACTTAGCTAATATTTGATTGATGATAAACTAAGTGGGTGGAGGGGGAGAATGGGGCGCAGCGGGGGAAGAAGGTTCGCGCTTTGGGGAGGGGGGGAAAAGATCGGGGGGGGACNCGGGGTTGGTGGGGATGAGTGCATTTGGGGGAAGTAGTGGAGGAGCGGGATACACAGCTTGTGGGATAATCTGAGTGTAGTTGGGGATAGTTGAGGTGATAGTGGAGGTGGATAAAAGGGGTTTTGATTGGTTGGGGATGGTTGATGACTTTGTGACGGCGGGGGTTTTCGCCTTGGGCGAGAGGGGAGGTGGAGTGGCCACGGTGGAGGTAGTGGTGGATGAACATGGCGATGATGTTGATGTGGAGGTCGAAGCGGAGGCTTGTCCGGAGGAGGGGGTGGTTTGGGGTGTGGAGGAGGGGGGTGTGGTCGTGGTGACGACCGTGATGGTGAGGGTGTTTCCCTCGAGCGCGGTGACAGCGTCGGAGATGGCGGCCATGGTGGTGCTGATGGAGTCAAGGGAGGATTGGAGGGCGGTCAACGTTCGGAGGAAAGTTGCGAGTTCCGGGGTGGCGATGGTCGAAGTTGGCGGATTGCCTGCGAGTTCGCGGGCAATGCTGTCGATGGAGCCGGAGCGAAGATCAGACATGTTGATGGATGATTGGTCCATGTTGGGGGAAGAGGGGGTGGAGGACGCGGCCGGAACAGATGTGGAGGATGCAGCGGCAGCAGTGGCAGTGGCAGCAGCAGCGGCGTCGGCGGCGGCGTGTTGGGAGTTCTTGGTTTGGCGTGGTGGCCTGTGAGGATGGGGGACACAATTTCTTTATCTATAAATTCAAAATAGGGATAATTGCCGAGATTTCAAAGGGAGTAAGGTTGGGGGGGAAGGGAAAGTGGGAATTAATTTTGAGTAAATAAATTTATTGCAAGGAAGATGAGCAATAGCGAACTTCAGCAATCAAGCAGCATCATACATATGAGTCCAGATAGTCGTGACCTCGAACCAACAGCAGAATTGCATCACGAGTTTCACCAAATAAGAACACACCAAGAGTTCATAATTGACAATGCTGAAATAGTCCCATCATCATCATCAACGAAGAACCAAAGTTGATATCCTATTTGGCGCTCGGCGCCCAGACTACATATGGCAGATCCTATCTAGCCTATACGACAATGCCGAAGTGGACGACAACAGCTCTCCCGAAGTACGAGCAGATAGCGGCCAATGCCGCACGCTTCCAGTACCAGGTATGTCTCTCGCCTCACTCACGACCTCGTTCCCCAACACACAGACGCCACTTGCACCCAAGGACCACCCTGCGCCGCAGCCAGCTTACAGCAGCGCAGCTCGGCTATGGCTGCCTGCTCCTTCCTGCTCGCCCGTGAGCGCGTGAGTGCCAGCGAGCTTCAGCGCAGCAGCACTTGCGCAGCATGCAGCCAGCACCCGAATGACGAATGTGGAGGCAGGCCCTTTGCTATATCGAAGTGGCCTGCCTGCGTTTAGTCCCAGGAAGCTTCCAGTAGGCCCCGGTAGCCTGAGGCCCAGCACAATGGCCTTGGGCCTGAGGTGGTTGCATGTACCCAACTGCCTTGGCCTGTGTTTGGCCCAGTACCCGTATCCAGCCCAGGGCCTGCTTTCCATACATTCACACAGGCGGCCAAGGGCCTGGGTTCTCTCAACCAACTGGCGCTGCGCAACTGCCTGAATTTCCTTGAGTTGTGTGGTGACCGAAATAGGGGCCCTCAGGCCCTCGTCGTGCCTGCCTTCACTTAGGGCGGCCGACGTGATACTTGGCAGGGCCAAAAAGGGGCTCATAGGGGCATAAGCCTCGCATTATTCCGACTTGGAATTTTATTTATTCAAAATTAATTCAAAATATGGGTAGAACGAAATTTTAGGAGAAGAGAAATTTTCTCAACGAAATTTTCAAAAATAAACGCTTGAAGAGGGGTCGAATCGCGGTGGGTAGAATCGCGCGGGGGAATTGAAGTGTGCGGGGGGGAGGAATGGGGGCGGGAGGCGGGGGTCGGACACGGTGGGCAGGAGCGCGAGCGGGAGCCGGAGTGGGATCGGAATCGGGGGGGCGGGAGTGGGATCGGGCGCGATGGGCGGGAGCGGGATTGGGGTCGGGTGTTGGAGCGGGAGCCGGAGTGGGATCGAAATCTTGGGGGCGGGAGTGGGATCGGGCGCGATGGGTGCGGATTGGGGTCGGGTGTTGGAGTGGGAGCGGGATCGGAGTCGGAGGGGGAGCAAGATCGAGGTCGCGACAAGAAGAAGAAGAAGAAAAGAATAAAAAAATAAAATTATCGTCGATTACTTATCTGCGCCGTGGAACAGAGACGGCAACGACGAGGATGACGTGGCGCAACGACGAGGACAATGAGCACGACGACGGCGATTTCGACTATGACATGGCACGACGACGAAGTTCTCGACGATGATGACGTGGCACGGCGACGACGATGACGATAACGATGATGACGTGGGGGAGACAGGGAGAGCCAAGGGAGGGGGGAGAGAGGGAGAGAGTGAGCGCACACACACTCACTCACTCGACATGACTGAGGGTCGGACGTATAGACAGTGATAAGGATACAAAGTCGAAGTCTTGGATTCCGAATGCCGAAAACAGGAGCAAGTCACACTGAGTACGATTACAGCAGCTGAAATTGGTACGAGACTGGTTGCCCGTACTGTACGGGGAACCGATATAAGTGTCGGTGACACGTACGGTAGCAGGGGCATCTCTGCAAAAGCCCCGAGGGCAGAACTGAAAAATGCGGTATTTGAAAGTGGCGCTCGAATTGTAGCATGGCGCAAGTTGTCCAAAATCCGACGGTACCAAAGGAGGGGTTTGGAAAAAGGGTGCCAGGCCAAAAACAACAACAAAATAGACCAGGGGTCGAGCCCTGGCGGAGTCCGTAACATCGCGGGTCATGCCAGGCTGGGTACCCGGATGGGTACCAGGTTATGAGTCGGGTGCCCGATGTTGGGACCTTTGGTTCTCGAGTCAAGTCCCGACCCTTGAGACGTGATTTATGGTTAAGATGTGCACAACAGGGAAATCTGGAATGAGGAGGCAATAGGGAGGGAAAATGTTAGCTGAAGGATTAAGACGGGATCGTCGATGCCATGTACCCAAGATGGGGCTTGGGACTACCAGAGCCTTAAATCGGGGAATAGATGGTGAAGTTGCAAAGAGATGCAGGAAATTGATAAAGGCGGCCCTCCTCGAAGGAGGACCTCCAGAAAAATAATACCCAGAAACAAGTAGCACAGGAATAAGGGGGATCAACGACACCAAGGAAAATAGCGCCTTGGTGCCGACACAAGAGGTCCTAGCATGCGGCCTAGGAGGCCACCTGAATGCGACATTCGAAAAGCCTAAGGGCCATGAACCAAGCAAGGAGGGTGCGAAAGGACTAGTAGGTGCCACCTAAACAAGTGCCCAAGCAAGGGTAATATGAGAAAGTAAATGGCCTTTGGGAGCCAAAATGAAAAAGGCTAACAAAAGAGAGGGGAGCCTCCATTTTGAGGCTTCTACACCTTGAAATTGAGAAGGGACTCGAAAGGGATGCAACGGATCACAAGGGCCTTAATTGTGGAGTTCCCAGGTACGTTGAACCTGAAAAATGAGGAGAAGAGAGCCTAGTGTATAAATTGGTTTTGTGATTCTGTTATTTTCTTTTTTATCGTCGATTCGGTGAGGAATTCTAATGTGACCCTTAGCCAAAAGTCGTTTGTATTGCAATTCTACACAACATATTTTCTTTTCTGGAATTTTTTGAATGTTGTTTTCCTGCATTGGGCCTGCTCGGAACCTGACTACGACAAGCAAGGAGGGCCTGCTCGGCAACTCCTTGGTCGGTGCATGCGACCTAGAGGTCGTAGCATGCGGCCTGGTTCCCCCCCTCTCTCTCTTGGTCGGAGCCAAGAGGTCGTAGCGTGCGGCCTAGGAGGCCACCTGACTACGACATTAGAAAAGCCTGAGGGCCATGAACCAAGCAAGGAGGGTGCAAAAGGACTAGCAGGTGCCACCTAAACAAGTGCCCAAGCACGGGTAATCTGAAAAAATAAATGAGGTTTGGGAGCCAAAATGAAAAAGGCTAGAAAAAGAGAGGGAGAGCCTCAATTTCGAGGCTTCTACACCTTGAAATTGAGAAGGGACTCGAAAGGGATGCAACGGATCACAAGGGCCTTAATTGCAATCAGACTCACTTTCTTCCCACTTCACACACATGCAAACAGGTGGAGATTTACAGTGTCGCATGGCGCCCACTCAAAGCTTAGAGATGTGGAAATCAAGAACACAGTTCTGACACAAGCTCTCTTCCACAGGCTATGGCGCATCAGCGCCTGAACATCTTGACCTTCGTCACTGTGTCCAACCCCACTGTTCACACACAAACTCTGGATCACCCTGAATACCACCACACACATACACTATGTCTAATTTCCTCCTACAGCGGCTATGGCCGGACTACCACTACTGACTATGGCGACAATCTCTCTTTAGCCCACTTCGTCTTCGGGCAACCTGTCGACCACCTTCGCACAAGACGCTGTAGCAGCGCTTCTGCATGGCTTACGCAGCGAATGAACGAATTGTTGAGCGCTGCCTCTTGATTTATACTTTTGTAACTCGTTGGTCTGCCCCTTTCTCAGGCCCTTGGTGCACATTGTCCCACACGGTACTTGCTTGACTGGACTCTGACTGACTGGAACCCGTGCCGCTGACTGCATGGGATTGCACTGCCAACTCGATGCAGTCGCACTGCCGACGTAACAAAGTTGGCTCACCACTTGCCAACTTGCCTCTGACTAAAGACTCGCCACTTTTGCCCACTTGCCTCTGACTAAACGTGAGACACTTCGAAAGGCCAGTTCCGGACCTTTCGAAAGGCTGTGGACTTGGCCTTTCGGGTACTTTAGCAACTACGATCTTGACCTTTCAAAATACCTACAACTACGACCTCTACAAAGCTGTGACTCCTAATCCACAGACCTACAAATCGAACCCCTACCACTACACAAACCTACGGCAGACGACAAATACTGCCAAAACACAGATCAAGGGTTTAAACACTCGGGTGTCGACTCGATACTGTAGATGTGCAAAGTGAGGTCTGGGGATTGAATTCTAGGGCCCGCATCTGTGATTGCAGACAGGTGAAAACCGTTTCACTCCCGCCGAGGTCCTCTGAGAATACTTCCGTCTAAGGTGGGAACTATTGGCTCCATGTCCTGAAGACATCCTCACCCACTATCCCTTCAATGTGATATCTTCCATCCATATCTGGAGGAATCATAGATCTGCGTGATGGGAACTATTGGCTTGTGACGCAAGGTAACAACTTCGATGCATGGAACACTGGGTAGGTGTGGAGTTGTGCTGGGATCTCAATAGTATAGGACGACCCATCTTCTCCGCCCTTAACTTCTAGGACTGGCCACGGTCCTCTATACGCAGGCAACAACTTTTGTGAGATGTTTTCCTCAGGGGCAAACTCTTTTGACTTGACGCAGACTAAGTCGCCTACTTGAAACTGTGAGGGGCGATGATGCTTGTTAGCTTGCTCTATCATTCTGTGTTGGGCTTTCCGGAGGTTGTCAACAACGGTAGCTATCTCTTTCTCGTGCTGTATCGCAAACTCTCGTGTACCGGGCGGTAGCCTCTGAATCTGATCCCGGTTAAGTCCTTCAAATGGTTTGCGCGCTCTAAAGGACTTGTGCAACTCGTTGGGAGTGCGACACATCGATAAGTGCACGCTATTATTGTAGGCACTGGCCACCTTTGGGAGCATCTCATCCCAATTGATCTGATTGGGCCTAATGTACATTCTGAGAACTTGCTGCAAGAGCTTGTTCATCTGTTCAGTCTGGCCGTTAGTCTCAGGATGACGACCAGATGACATCAGCAACTTTGAGCCATAAACTTTCATCAACTCCTACCAGTTCTGACTAGTGAATCGGGTATCCGAGTCACTAACTATCGACAGCGGTATACCATGCTCACTGACCCAATGGTCATGCCTCTGCAGGCAAAGGAACAAAAACTGCATACTTGCTAAATCTATCTACTATGATCATGACTTGACTTTTGCCAAGCCTACTCTTGACCTGAGTATCCATAAAGTTAATGGACACAAAATCTTAGGGTCTCAGGAATAGGCAAGGGTCTGAGAAGACCAAGAGGGGCTCGCGTAGTAGTCTTGTTTCGTTGACAGACTTTACAACTGCGGTCCTTTGTGGACATACTCTATGCAGTCGGCCTTCATACCAGGCCAAATGTACGCGCACATGAGGTTGGCTAGTGTCTTTTGCCAACCAAAGTGTCCCTCTGTATCATGGCATTCCCCTGAGATCAAACTATGGATCTCTTCACTGTTGGGAACGGACAGGCGGTCAACTACATTAGTCTTCTCGAATAATAAGCCATCAGTAGTGCGGTAGTTTGGCTCAGACTTTGGGACCTCCCTAACTCTCTTGAGGAGATCAATATAGATAGGGTCCTCTGCATAGGCCTCTCTAACTTTTTGTTGCTGGTCTCTCCCTATATCCAGATAGTGAACTATTGCCCCAAAGTAGTCAGCTCTTCTACTCAAAGCGTCGGCTATTACATGGTACTTCCCTTTAACTGGCTTTAGTTCAAAGTCGTAGTGGTCTGCGGCCCACCTAGTAAGCTTAGGTGTCATCTTGGCACGAGTCTTCAGCCACCTTAGTGTCTCGTGGTCTGAGTAGACTTTGAAGTGCTTCCCAAGCAAGTAATGTTTCCAGTGCTCTAGTGCTTGCCTGAGAGCGTAGAATTCTCTCTCATAGGTTGATGTCGCCACCTTCTCTGAAGGCATTCTGGCAGACATGAACTCTATGGGCCTATATCCATTGCCATTGTCTTGCTGTAAAACAACAGCTATGCCATACTGACTTGCGTCAGTGGTAACAACGAAAGGCAGGGACGGATCAGCTACCTTAAGGATTGGATACTCTATCAATGCTCGTTGTAGCTTCTTCAGGGCTGGCGTACAGTCCTTGTGGCATACTCCATCATTACCCCCCTAAGCGAGTTCTTCAGGTTGCTTCACGAACGATTCGCAGATGTCACTAGGGGGATTAGAGCCTCAGATAAGTTGCAGACCATCCATTCACCGCAATGGCGGAGTGCAAGAGCACTCAAAGGAGTTATAAATGAGCTAGTTGCCATCTCAGGACATGGGGTCAGTGAGGCCCAATCGGTCCAGCTATTCTACCGTGCTATGCCTGAGTCTTTACGAGGGCACTTTTTGAAAGGAGTAGAGAGTCTGTCGTCACCTACGGTACATTGACTAGGGAAGTGGTAGCCTTCAAGGCTCAGTCCATGCCAACCTTTACTTTCTGGCATAAGGACTTAGACAAGGGTAAAAAGTGGAAAGGACGTACCATCTCGGGGC